GGGGGAGGGAAGGGTTGGGGGGAAGTAATTGAGCAAAAACAAAGTCGCCTGCCCCTTTAAGCGTGGCCATTTTTAATTCTGTTCTGTGTGGCACACCAGTGTGTCATGGAACCCTGTTTAAAAAACACTGGTTTAAAGTATCTTGAGCTTGCAACATCTGCAGAATGACTCTTGTCAATATACAGCAACCATTCCATAAATATACAAGATATATTTATTTTTTTCTGAAATGCTTGCAGATTAAAATTTCAGCTCAGTTCTGGTTTTGTTAGTGGATTCAGCAATAGCTTATCCCATAAACAGTTTAACTGTAGAACCAACCAACAATTTCATATCATCAGCGACCCTACACCAGTCTCTATAAATCTATCTTGAAATGTGGAAAATCCTGTGTAAAAGATTTTAAGTTTCCATCATGGTTTAATACTGGTTTAAGAATTATGTAAAATAATTTTAGTATTTAAAAATTAATACTTTTCTTTACACATATTTTTCCTGAGTAGGAATATCATGATTAGATTAAATGGAAAATAGTTCAAAATCATTTACACAAGAATACATTAGTCAGTGTCACAAATTATCATCTTTTGTAACAAATGACTACTACCACTGGCAGACACAAATAACCTTGTGTAATTAAAAGTTGTAATCATACTTACCGAGTGTAACACATTGAAATTCATGAAGGCCCACTAAGGGTTAATTTGGCCCTTTAAATGCATGTCATTATATATTTATAGAGAGAAAGCAAACTTGAAAACTGTTCTCTTTTAAAGAGATGTCTATCCGTCTTGTGTATATGTATGAGAGAGAAAATGTTCCAAACTAGAGTTCAGCAAATAAAGTAACAGTATTGTGCATATAACTAATTATAAGAAGCAGGGAGTATCTTATATTTGCATTGATTTATAGAGTTCCATTGTAACGAAGCAGACTTCAGACATGTCTGGTCACTCCTTCAAGGAGATTTTGTGTTAGATTTATGTATTGGATATATGAGATTATAAAAAGTGTCTAACAGACTTTTAAACTTGAAATTTCTGTATAGATAAATGCAACAATAATTTCCATCATAGATTGATGCCAACCAGTTCAGTTTTGCAGCAAAAAATTGAAGAATGTCACCTCCCCCCAAAGTTGCTTTTTATGTTGCATCCCACTCTAGTAAAAGAAAGGTCAACAGACTCAAGCTATTTTGACCCAACGGGGGAACAGATTCCAAAATCAAGGAGCCCTCATTGAGAATGCCCTAGCAGCAGTTCCCTCTTTTAAAGTCAAAAGGACTGCAGTTCAAGAGTCTCTACTGATCTCTGCAGTATAGCACAGGAAAAAGTCCAGTCTCTCAAGTAGGCAGGTCATGGATTAAGGATGTTAAAATAAAATGCAGGACAATGTAGCACTTTAAAGACTAACAAGATGGTTTATTAGATGATGAGCTTTCGTGGGCCAGACCCACTTCCTCAGATCAAATAGTGGAAGAAAGTAGTCACAACCATATATACCAAAGGATACAATTTAAAAAAATGAACAAATATGAAAAGGACAAATCACATTGCAGAACAGAAGGGGGATGCGGGGGGGTGGGAAGCGGGAGGAAGGAAGGTAAGTGTCTGTGAATTGCTGATATTAAAGGTAGGGAGAGTGGGATGTTTGTGAGTTAATGGTATTACAGGTGATAATTGGGGAAACTGTCTTTGTAAAATGTGGTGTTCGAGAGTTGTCTGGTTGCCTCCTGGTTATAGTCGGCCTTATTCATAATGACCACAGCACCCCCTTTGTCAGCTGGTTTGATTACAATGTCCAGGTTGTTTTTGAGACTCTGGATGGCATGGTGTTCAGCGCGGCTAAGATTGTGTGTCGCTTGTTGTCGTTTGCGAATAATGTCAGTCTGTGCGTTGTTGCGGAAGCTGTGTATATAGAAATCCAGATTGTAATTCCGACCGTCAGGGGGAGTCCATATAGAATTATTTTTCCTTTGGTGTTGGTAGGGGGGATCTGGTAGGTCAGATTGATGTTCAGTGGTGGTTTGGAAATATTCTCGGAGACGGAGGCGGCGAAAAAAAGCCTCAAGGTCACCATTCTTAAGTTGAATGGGGAGCAAAGCGGCGGAACACGCGGGCAGCCCAGACGCGTCTGGGCTGTCTGCTGCCCGCGTGCTCTGCGGCTTTGCTCTGCTTTGCTCCCCATCCCCCTGGTCTGCAGACCAGGGGGACAGGGAGCAAAGCAGCGGAACATGCTTTGCTAGTAGAGGCAGTGGAGGGGTAGAAACAGCGCCTTAGAGAAAGTGCTGGAGGGGAACTGGCTTTTAAGTAGGCTACCCCCATCACTGGCTCCTGTCCCCCCTG